GGGGGGGGGGGGGGGGGCGTCGGATTGTACGTCTGTCTCCATCTTCTCTCGGAAAAAATCGAACAACGCGTAAAACTGTCGTGAGTTGGCGCCGACTCCGCGATTTCACGCGTCGATTTTCCGCACGCGGAAATAGCCTGTGATTCCGCTCTTACGCCGCGCGCAAAAGCGTTGGGCAACACTCTCGTGGAGTTGCGTTGGACACGCGCGCAGTTACGTCGGCGGAAAAAGCTCGGGACGCTTCTTGCCACGAAATACTCCCTCGTTTGATATTTCTTTTTTTTTTCGAAAGCGCGGAACGGGCCCGGAATCGCTTTGCGATTCGCGTTTGCGCAACGCGGCGCGCGCTGCTCCGCCACGCTTTTACTTTCAGCCCGAGATCGGCGGCGACGGATTATCTTGATGGATAAATTAGCAAAGCTAATACGCGCCGCTCTGTCCGTTGTTCGCCTTCTTGGCGGACCGTGCAGCACGAGCGGAATTATGAGCGCTCGCGTGCGTGCGTTTTCACGCTGGCGTACGCCTAACGGTGCAGGGGCTCCCTTGAAAGATCGCTGCTGTTGTTGCCGGTCTTGCCTGCCAATTTGGAATGACTTACGCGTAGGCAATTAGATCTAATCGGCGAGTTCTCGTGCATGCTTCGCGTATCAGATCTTTAGATAACGAGGACGGAGCCGCAGCAACGGAAGAGGGGCTTTGAAAAGGCTACTCGCTGATATCACTTTGATACATGGTGAAGAAAAGAAAAGAAAAATTTTTCCTCGTAAATATTCTCGCTGCTTTTATAAACGTTCAAAAATACATCCAATAGTTTTCCTTATACTTATTCACTTCTATTTGTAGGCAAATATCATTTTTAAAATCAATGAAAAACAATTTATTATCGAACAATGACGCAGACGAGGAAGAACAATGCAAAGAAATTGCGTCAGAAACGACACTCGAAATACCAACTGTTCTCCAGTCCACTTTTGTATGAGTAATCACGTTAACAGTCATTACACACTCATGATTCACTTCTTTCACTTGGAGGGAATTTTTTTCAGCTACTCCACCTCGGTGAGTCAGTAAGGTAACAATGAACGAATGAAGTCAAAGCGTGAATCGGATCGGATTTTTAATCGCGATCTCGTCCACCGAATCGTTCCCTTTCACCGCGACGTGCTCCAGACACTCTCCAGCTCGTCAAGGAAACACTTATTCTTGCGTCCGATCGTTACACTTTCTCCATAATCCATTATAACCTGATTCTCCCTTCGGTCCTACTCGCTCATGTTGTCTCGTTATTAGTGCGCCGTAAAAAGAGAAACGGAAGATAATCGAGCGCGAACCTGCTCTTTCATGAGCGAACAGCGTGGTTTACGAGTGGGAATGAGGCCGCGAGGAAAATCGATCGCGGATCCGCGAGAGATTCCCGATTCTGCGAAAATACTGCCATCTCGAGCACCGATCTGGGCGACTCAACGAACCGGAAACGATTCGATCGTAAGTCTGCCGAGAAGATGCAACACTGAAAAGAAGAAAAAGAAGAAGAGACAAACAGAGAGAGACATACAGCCGAAGCCTAGTTTTGCCGATCGGTCAATCAACCCGTCGACCATCGTTAGGCCGGGTTCGGTCTTAATAGCTCGTCAAGCCTTGCGAAAGCGTCTGCTACCGGCGATGTACAGAAACATCATATAGCCCATGAATAAATACTGCGAGATCCCGTACGAAAGCGGGACGAAGAAATGACGTAAATATAGTTTCGAGCTGTTTCGCGCTCGATCGAAACGACCGCTCGTATATCGAGGGTATTGTCGATAAAATCTTCGTTCGCCCCGTCAAAAAGTAGCAACTTCAATGAAATTTCAATATCTAGCGTGTGTAATATAATAATAAAGACAATAAACTATATTTTCTCACGATATTATGCCAGTAATATAATATTGTCTAAATATATATGTAGTGGTATATTTGAAAAAATATAGGATAATACATAAATTATGAAAAAATTTATCATATAATATATATTCTTAAATATAATTTTTCCTATGTAGTTTCCCAAATAATTTATATATTATTCCGCATTATATTATTTTATCACGCGCGTATCTACATATATTTTATTATTTTATATATTATTATCATTATTACATTAGATTACTGGAGGTGGTATATTCGACATGCGTGATGGTTCAATAACTTTCTGTGCTGATATGTAAAATTTCAGCGTACCGACGTATTCAGCGCGCAGTACGCCTAATCACACGTAAAATAGAGTAAACAACGGTTGAACGAAACAACAGTCGACGCGTCGGGGCCCGAGGGCAGATAATAGATGATATCCGCGGCCTTAATTCCCCGATAAACGCTCTCATCTCCTTACGGGAAGGAAAGGGTGGGTCTCGAAGGATCCGCCGGATGCCCAGAAGGCCTTCGGACACGCGTCTTCGATCGAAGATTGCCGGGACGAATCCAACGACGCGTAGCGCGATGAAAAACAACCAATAAAGGGGCCTTGACCCGATTGTCGGCTCCGGGTTTTTACTTTCCTCCGTCGGTGCATCGTTTGAAGAAAAAAAAAAAAGAAAAACCGACGGGGACGAGACGCGACGCGCTCTTCACGAGCATCGAGCTCGTAAATCTGCACACCTGCGAGGGTATCAATTATGACGACTCGACCTAGATGCGAGCCACTAGATCGGCGAAGCCTCGTCGTCCACGTAACGCCTCATTTAACGCCGATGAGATGAAGCGATTTCCATTTTTCGAGTCGCCGAACGCGCGCAAGATCGCGAATTGAAATTTTCACTCTTCCCTGAGAGGCCGGTCGGATCGGTCGAATCTATCGAGGAACATTTTCTATTTTAGGCAGCCAGACGCACGAGACGCAAGGCGATATATATGCGTAAGCTCGAGGGAATGATTAATGGGTCGAATACGCGTCATCGGCGTGAACGGATGGCCACGTTGAATCCATGTACAGAGCTTCCGTAGGATTGTCGTAAAGCCGTTGTACATTTCGGCAATGAAACTAGTCGTGAAACCGGTCGTTTTCCGTATCTGGGTTGCGACACACTTTTTCGTCGTGCGGAGCGTCACTCCGCTCGAACAGAAATCGAAGGTGCGCGCTTAAGCGTGCGTAAGCTTAAGGGCGGTCCGCGCGCTCGTTTGCGAATTTCACCGCGTGCAATTTCAGCGCGAAATCCTCGCGTGAGATTGCAGACGTCTCGCGACCGGAAGGAGAACGCGCTCGTACCATGCGGCGCGTGTTACTTTTAAAAAAAGAGAGGGAGAGAAAAAAACCCGCTTATGTATAATTAATACAGAGTTATTAGAACATCGTAAAGCCGGTTACATTTGCATTCAATTAATGCAATTATTCTCGGAACTCCTTAACGATTCCTACGCACGGGATACGAAATATTAAATTATTACGAAATCATTTCTCTTTTATATTATAACGAGAGAGAGCAAATTGCCGGCAAATTTATTCAAATGTGCCGCCGAGCGAACGAGGAAGCGAATTAAGTATCGCCAGCATATCGTAACGATAACAACGTTGCATCGGTAATATCGTCGGATAGGGAAAAACCTTTAAGGTAGTTGGTCCGTGAAATCACTTTTTTAGGAATCCTTTTAAATATCAGCTGCATATCATTGAAAATCCGACATTCTACGGACCAACTATTTTAAGCATTATAGTAGGAGAGACCAGAACTAGTTGGCTAAAGGGCTAATTGATTATTTCAATTGTTTTCAAACAGGTTAGAGAATCGAGCAATTAGGGATTTCATAACCATATTTGACGTGTTCGAAATGTTTACTTACTCGATTCTTGTAACCTGTTAGAAAATAACAAAAATAATTAATTAACCAACTTACCCCTTTAGCCAACTAGCCCCGGTCTAACTAACTGTAGCAACGCACTCGTTCGAGAAATTCAGATAAATCGAGTTTCGACTTGACGTCTT